CTTCGTTTTCACGACAATAATCTAGTCTAACTTGTTCGATGGTTCTGGGGCGTGTGAAATGCATTCTAGGAAAACTTGGCATAGGTGGCAACTTGAATGGTCTCACATCCAATGTTTACAGGCTATGCATTGATTTAAAACTTTTTAACTTCTATTCTTTCTTTTGGGATCCAGAATCTAGTCTCAATTCCGTAAAGTAGGAGCAGTTTTTGCGTAGTGTAATTCTTCATGTTTTTGTTGGATAAGAAGCTCACTTATAGGATGGTCTTTAGGTAGATAAGTTAGGTACTTACTACCGTCGTCCAGTTTTCCAATCGACCTTTAGCTCTCCATAAGTTTGATCGTAATATAAATTCCATTTGCTTATTTCCTCTTCGGTAACATCAACCGGTTGTGCTTGTTTTATTAGCACTCATTCAGCCGCTTTATAATCGTCGATTATAATTTGAAGTCTTTCAGACGGTGCTAGTAGCCAAAATATTTCTCTTTTAGATATGAGCTTTATAAACCTGAGAGTCCAGATGGTTGTTCTCAGTATTCTTGTCCAAGTACTAAAGCGGGTACTTTGAATTAGTTGGAAAATTGGGAATTCTTTAATCTGAGGGAAATGACTTCATTTACAACTGCTTCGATTTCATTATTTTTCGTAAATTGGCATTCCCATCGTGGGCAATTAAATTTTTTTTTCTTTGAATCATGAAGATCCATTTCACCATGATAAACTACTCTCCTTCTCAGTTGTTTAGGAGAGAGTCCTTTGTGGCTACGTCTATTTGGTTTTGTTCAGTTAAGATGTAGCGTAATAAAAAATTTGCCCTTCTCATTTCATAGATTCGATTTTATAGAAATTTGGCGAGTAGTTTCGAACAATTTGTTACCCAATGCAGAGCACATCTGGAACCTGACCATAAGGTTGCCTTATAGCCTTTCAGATCCACATAACAAATTGAATTGCTCGAACGCTTTATAAGTGTGGCAAGCAATTCCGGTTGAAGTATAGTCCTACTTTTATCGGGATAATCCTAGATTTAGTAAATAACAAGAATCAAGTGGTTGTGATTTAAACGTTCCGGAAGATACTGCATAATTTGCCGCTGAATATGTTACACCTGAAGCATCCGCGAAAACATGAGATTCCAGATGCCTCGGTGGTATAGTTACTAACCTTGGTAATTCTTTTAAATTCTTTGACAGTTATGATAAGAGATTTCCACTCTTTTTTATCTCCTTCATTCATGATATGGTTGCATGTGTTGTTGTTTCACCATAACTGTTGGAGGAATAATTTGATTCTTATCGTGATAGGGACCAGAAATTCCGGTGGGTCATATTGAGAGGCCAAGAAATTGCAAGATTTTCTCTTCGTTGTTTTTTTTCGGACCACGGTCATAAAATTGCCTTGATATTGTCCCGATCGTTCATTCATTTAATACCAAGGATTTTTCTTTGGTCTGGTTGTGCTCTATCATGTTTGGGTATCACTAAAGGTTTTTTCTTATCTCTATCATTATATCACTCCC